GTGTGTGTGTGTGTGTGTGTGTGTGTGTGTGTGTGTGTGTGTGTGTGTGTGATCCAAGTTGCATTTCCATGACTGCTCATTAGTGAGAATCTCTTTCCTGTGTTTAGTGACCATTTTGGCACTAATAGAAATGTATCTGCCTTTTAAGAAGCCGATGCATCATAATTCAAAACGTAGAGGCGCATTCGAACTGTCATTCAGGAAACATTTAGAATGTTGGTGGGCACTGTGCTAAATGAGACAAAGATAATTAAGCTTAGTTGTTGCCCTTGAGTGACTCACATTTTAGGGGGAAAGGCAATGTAAGGTGCATCTGAGGTGATTCTGATATAAAATATCAAGTGACAAAGCTTAGCTCAGAGTCAGACAGGGCACCTGACCCAGAAGGCAGACCAGGGCAGAGGCATAGAGAGGGATCCTAGACAATGTTATGACGCTGGATATGGCGGCACACACCTTTAATCCCATCACTCCGGAGACAGAGGCAGGTGGTTCTATTCGAGTTCAAGGCCAGCCTGGTCTACAGAGTGAATTCCAGGACAGCCAGAGCAACATAAGAGAGAGACCCTGTCTCAAAAAACAGGAACAGGAACAGGAACAACAACAAAAAGAATGTTAAGCTGGGCAGTAGTGGAACACACCTTTTGGATCTCTGTGAGTTCGAGGCCAGCTTGGTCTACAGAGCAAGTTCCACGACAGGCTACAAAGCTACACAGAGAAACTCTATCTCAAAAAAAAAAAATTTAATTATTTTAAAGATTTATTTATTTTTATTTTATGTGCATTGATGTTTTGCCTTCATGTACGTCTGTGTGAGAGTACCTGGAATCTTGTGATCTGCCACGTAAGTGCTGGGAGTTGAACCTAAGTCCTCTGGAAGAGGAGCAGTGCTCTTATTGCTGAGCCAACTCTCAGCCCCGACCATTAATAACTGAAAGGAGTTGATTGACAGCGTGTGTTTCCTTCCAGGAGTATGAACTATGTGAGGAGTGGGGCCATCTGTACTCCATTCCAAGGGAACATCTGATCAGTCTGCACCACAAACATCTTCTCCACCTGCTGGAAAGAAGAGAACATGAAAAGGCTCTTCAAGTAAGCTCTGAGTCTCTACAGTTTTCATCAGGGGAGGGGCGAGGCTAGTCCTCTCAGGTGCCCTCTTTCCTCCTGAATCCTATACAAAGTCTTGACGATGGCAGACCTGCCCCTTCCATGCTGCAGGAACCACTTACACTCATTTTGAGCTAGGTACCTACGTCTACCTTAGTGCCAGATGGAGCGTCTGGGTCCTGTCAAAGCCACAGCACATTGGTTAAGTATGGGGTGGCAACAAATGAGTGGAGAAAGATAATTAGCCCCAAATAAAGGAACCTAAATGTTATCTTCTCCCACCAAAAGAGGCTGACCTGAGAGTTCTGCAGGGCTCACCTCTTTCCCTACCCTCTGCTGCAGCTCCTGCAACGCATCCCTGATCGCACCATGTGCCTTGAGGTCACAGAGAGGTCCCTTGACCAGCACCCTAGCCTAACCACTTCACACTTCTTGGCCAACTACCTCACCTCCCACTTCTACGGAGAGCTGACCACCAACCGACACCATGAAATCCAGGCGCTGTACATGGGATCTAAGGTGAGGACAGGGGTTGGAGACAATGATGATTGAAGCGGGGATTGCTGGACTCACTTCCGCTTCAGAATCTGACCATGTATAGGCTCTTGTGCCAGGCGCCTGCCTGCCACCCTTGGCCTGTGCTGTATAAACACTTAACCTGGCAGCTCACCATGTCCTAAGTGAGTGTTCCAGGACTTGTCATAGTCTTTCTACGCTTCCTCCAAGGAGAGATTTGCCCAGTCGTCTCAGGCTTTCTATGGCACATGCTGTATCACTGTGTCCTCAAGCCTGACCATGTATTAGGATCACTGGCCTTTTTAAAAAAAAAATATTAGTAATTGACATGCACACCAGACCAATTAAAAGTGGTCATGGGACAGGGACTAGTTCTCTTCCAAAATAATTTGGATGTAAGGATTTAAAACTATTTACTTGAGGGGCTGGAGAGATGGCTCAGTGGTTAAGAGCATTGGCTGCTCTTACAAAGGACCTGGGTTCAGTTCCCAGCATCCCTGTAAGGCTGCATACAACTACTGCGTACCCTCTTCTGGCCTCCACAGGCACTGCATGCATATGGTGCATGATAGACAAGCAGGTATACACACACACACACACACACACACACACACACACACATACACACACATAAATTTTAAAATTAAAATTACTGCATGATAGTCTATACTCATAGAAGAGGGTTATTTGTCTCAATAATTAAATGAGAAGATAGGTTAGAGACACCAATAGAAGACATTACAAACAAGACTCATTAGTCCAGTGACCCAGGGTTTGGAGAGACAATGGGACCATCAACTCTTTTCTAATTCTTCTGACTTTTCATATATACGGCCCACAAAATGAACAAGTGCCAAGAGTGCCATGGCACAGCCCTCGGGAGATTGTTTTTCCTTTTTTTTTTCTTTTTTCTTTTGTGTGTGTGTGTGTGTGTGTGTGTGAGAGAGAGAGAGAGAGAGAGAGAGAGAGAGAGAGAGAGAGAGAGAGAGAGAGAACTTTTGGGTTGTTAGGTTTTGGCTGTCTGTCCATTTGTTTTTGGTGGCCCAGTCACATGTAGCCCAAGCTGTTCCCTATCCTTCTGCCTCTACCTTCCATATGCTGGGGTGTCAGGCGCCATCTACCATGCTCAGCTCTTCATTTTTATTCACGTCACTTAATTAGTTGGGGGGAAATAGGGAAATGGTAGTGAGCAGAACAGAACCAGTGACCCTATCTCAGGCCTCATGACTGACCGCTAAAGGGCACTTAGATCCACCTTTCATGATTAGGACGCTGGAGCTGCCAGGATCGGGCAGCCTACTAGCATCACCTTGTATTGTTCGTTCTAACTAAAACCTCACATAGACTGATAGCATGGGTTAGGCAAAGCCCAACGATGCCTGGAGGGTCGAGGCCAAGGTTACCACCTGTAGGCCAGGTCTAGTCCTCAGCCTGTTTTTGTAAGTCAAGTTGTGTTGACACAGGACACATCTGTTCATATATCCATTTATGCTTGCTTCCATGCCGCATTGGCAGAGCTGAGTAGGTTTTAAGTCCTAAAGTCTAACGTATTTACTCTCTTACCCCTTACAGAAAAAGATTAGCAACCGCTTGTCCAGGTAAAGGTCCTAGGACACGTCACCCAGAGGACTCAGACGTTCAACCTTGCTTCCCAAACGACCGCTAGCGGGGCCGGGGCCGCAATAGGGCTCAGTCTCTGTAACCCTTTGACTTCCCTGCAAGCAGGCCTCTCCTGAAATTGTGTGCTGTTTTCTTCGCTCCACCCTGCACACAGGTTCTCCTGACTCTGCCTGAACAGCACCGAGCCAGCTGCGCCCATTTGTCCTCCAGCCCCCTGCTCATGCTGGAGCAACTGCTGATGAACATGAAGGTGGACTGGGCCACCGTGGCCGTGCAGACTCTGCACCAGCTGCTGGCCGGACAGGAGAGCAGCTTCACCCTGGACGAGGTTGACTCCTTGCTCTCCAGATATGCAGGGAAAGCCCTGGACCTCCCGTACCCTCTGAGGGAAAAGCGATCAGGTGACCGGCTGCGTGCTAGACAGCAGTTCTTCACTTCAGAAGAAATGCTACACTACCCTTGGGTTCAGTCTTCTCTCCTTATTGACTGAAAGGGAGCTACAGCTCTTTGATATTTAGGCAAGATCTGGATCTGAGGAGAAGGCTCAAACACTATGCATGATAACACAAAAGGGTGGAAAACCAGACGTTGCTGGAAAAATTGGTCTGGCTTTGACAGTGGGCTCCTAAGTGCTATCGTTTTCATTAGTGGGGTATGCTTCATTTCCAGGGTCACAGCAGACATCAGTTGTCTGGGAGCTGATTCAACTTCTTCTAGAATGAAGAAGAAAAAACTAGATGATGCTCCTGGCCACCTTCCTATCCCCCAGGGGCATCATTTATTTAAGTGTCTTCCACTCTCTGGGCATTTTTAAATTTATTGAAAAATCTGCTCCGTTGTCACGTGTGCCTCAAACTTGGCTTGATAGTTTTGTTTGCTTTTTGTGGAATTTAAAAAGCATACATCTTTGGCTTAGAAGGGTTTTTGTTTGTTCTTTTTTTGGCTTTGGTTTTGGTTTTGATTTTTTTTTAAGACAGGGTTTTTCTTTGTAGCCCTGACTATCCTGGATCTGGCTTTGTAGCCCAGGCTGTCCTCAAACTCACAGAGATCCGCCTGCCTCTGCCTCCCAAGTGCTGAGATTAAAGGCGTGTGCCACCAGCGCCCAGCCAGCTTAGAAGTTCTTTTACCAGACTGTTTATATTTAATATAATCATGATGCCACAATCAACAAAGTCGAAAGAGACTTGCACTAAATGTGTAGCATGGGAATAAAGATGCTTGTGGTAGACCCACTCTTTCTCTTTCCACAGATTCTGTGACTCACCTCCAGGAACTTGTCCACCAAACTTCAGATTCTGAGACCCTGTCTAGATCATCATCAGCTGAGTTCTCTGCTGCTGCTGCTCCTGGTAAGAACGTCTTATTCTGACCGCCTCATTCTTTCGCTCTTTCTCCATTCCCACTTAAGAAATTCTTCTTCTTCTTTTTTTTTATAATTTACTCCACCTTTTAAATTTCCCAGTACATTCAGCATACAGCTGACTCATTATCTGTGACAATGTGTCTATAAAAGTCTGTATCAGTGAGTCCTGAGCTATTGCTCCAAGAGGAGGAAACTCTATATATGGGCATGTATACACACACACACACACACACACACACACACACACACACACACACACACCTTACATAGATTATCTTATTAAAATCTAACAAAGTAACTCATCCTAGAAGATTCTGCATTCTTTGTCTCACAAAAGAGGCTCAGAAGTGACTTGCCTCGCTAACAAGTACCCAGGTCGGAATTCAAAATCTGTCCATCTATATGGAACCAGAGTTGCTCGCCCAGTCCTACCCTGCCCCCCCCCACACTATTTCCATAATCTTCTCACCGCCACGTGAGAGCTGAGACAAGAGGAAAGAATGTCACCTTAGTCAGCCTCTACTGAGAACCTGAATGTTGGGTGACTTGAAAACTCTCTCCAGTCCAGACATGCCCACAAGTAGCTATAAACGCTGAGGGAGTATTGATTTTGAGTTGTCTTCGTTTGCTTCTGAGACTACCATAAAATACCAAAAGCAGCTTGAGAAGGAAGGAAGGGGTTTCCTTTACCTTACACTTCCAGGTAACAGGTCATCACTGAAGGAAGTTAGACCAGGAACTGAAGCAGAGACCATGGAGGAACACTGCTTACTGGCTTGCTTCCCATGGCCTACTCAGCTTGCTCTCTGATACAGTCCGGGACCATATGCCCAAGGGTGGCACAGTGGGCTGGACTGCACGCGCGCGCACACACACACACACACACACACACACACACACACACACACACACACACATCATTAATCCCGAAAAGACCCTACAGACATGCCCACAGGCAGTCTAATGGAGGCAGTTCTTCAATTGAGGGCCTCTCTTCCCATGTGACTCTAGTTTGCGCCGAGTTGACAGAACCAGCCAGCACAAGAGTATTGATTCTGAGGTTGCACATTTAGTGACCAGAAACATTATAAATATGGAATCTGTTACTGATGAGGATTAGGTATAGTTAGCCCTCATGAAACTTCTGTTGTCTGTACAACAGCAAGGACAAGCTCCTTGGAGGCCTGAACTAGGCTTTGTCACCTTTCCACAGCACCCTTCTTTCCCAGTCCCCAGCCTGCTGCATGATGACCCTTATTCAGAAAAGGCTCAGCAGTTGTTTTGCCAAACAGTGAGGAGAGCAGGAGTCTGGGCACTGCTAAGAAGCACTGTCTTCAGCTCTCTTCAGTTTCTACGGGTGCTGAAATTGCTCTTCTAGACAATAAGAAATCTTAGATACCGTAAAGCAAAAACCCTGCCGTTTCCTGGCCATGCTTCACAATAACCTGTAGGCCTGAAGGGAGGGCCCAGACTCTGGGTATCTAAACAGCTTTGTGCATCTGTGTGAGGCAACTGGAGCAGCTTTGGGGTGTGTGTGTGTGTGTGTGTGTGTGTGTGTGTGTGTGTGTGTTCTTGTTTCATCTGTGTGCCTATCCTTCTAATGGGTTGTTTTCAAATAGATCTCAGATATACATTATTTCACTTGCAAATATGCTGTTATAAATTCCCAAAAGGCAAATGCTTTTACAGTATAAACCATTGAGAGCTGGAGAGATGGCTGAGCTGCTAATAACTGACTCATAACTGGTGGTAACTCCAGCTGCAGGGGAGTTAGCACCCCCTTCTGGATTCTGTAGGCACCTGCACTCACATGTGTGTATACACACACATAGACACACACATAATGTGAAATAAAATCTTTTAAAAAAATCAAACCACAATGCTATTATTGGACCTAAACTCAAATTAAAAATGATTGTTATCAAATATCTAGTCGACATTGAAATATCCTCAGTTGTCACATACTGTTGTTTGTTTGTTTACAGTTGTTCTTATTCTAAATCCAGTTCCAAATAACATCCACACATGGCATTTGGCTAAAGTATCTCACATCTGTTTAATTAATTAGTCAGCCCCACCTCTTTATGAAAGAAACTAGGCCATTTATCCCAAGTGCTGGATTTCTTTTTTTTTTTTCTTTTTTCTTTTTTTTTTTTCTTTTTTCTTTTTTTTTTTTTCTGAGACAGGGTTTCTCTTTGCAGCCCTGGCTATCCTGGAACTCACTCTGTAGACCAGGCTGGCCTCGCACTCAGAGTTCAGTCTGCATCTGTCTCCTAAGTGCTGGGATCACAGGTGTGCGCCACCCACCCTGGCCCACATGCTAGACTTTGCTGACTTCCTTTTATGACAATAAGGGTCTGTGTCCCTAAGTTTCGAGTGCGCTGGTAGTTAGATCTAAGGCTTATCTCTATGTGGGCTCAGTATTTTGTAAGTTACATTTCTTTTCATTGTTAAATGATTAAATGACATGCCATAGCACTTGTCAGCTCCCTCCTTCTGCCTGTGTGGTTCCCAGGGATCAAACTCAGGCCATCAGGTTTGTCAGCAAGCACCTTTTACCGCCTGAACCGTCACTGCCCCCCCCCCCAAGGCTTAATGGTTTTGATTAATCATATTTGATAGATTTTGTTGTACATTTCCAGTGGGGGACACACAATGACACCTGTCTCTCTTTTGTGACTCAAGCAGCCACTGATTATCACCTGGATCGATCACTCCAGGAGAGCCTTATAACATCGTAAAATTCAGTCTTTCCTTGCACTTAGGAGATTTTTTTCTCTGACTTCTTACTCCAGGAAGTGCCTTAGTCCATTCCCCCAGCCCCAAGGAGAGGACTTCCCCTCAGACTCAGCCGCTGCTGGAGTTTGTGCCCCCAGAAGCACCCCCTGCCAGGGATCAGTGGGTCCCAGACGAGACTGAGAGTACATGTATGGTCTGCTGCAGAGAGCACTTCACGATGGTAAGCAGTGTCCCTCCTCAGCCGCACTCCAGGGAAAGAAAAGCAAAGTGCCAGGTTGTGAGCTTGAGTTCACGGTCACCTGTCCCCAAGAGGACCGTGATGTTTTCAGATAACCAAACCTACGACTGGATCTACCTTTGACCTGACCTGAATGTGTTTTCAGGATCCACTCATGTGGTAGGCATCCTCAAATAGCTTTACATTATAAAACCGTTGACATTCTCATTGGATAATAAAGACAGGCAGGAGGCACCATGTCTTTGGAGATTTCGTATTTAGTTCCTAGGTCTTTCACAATAAGACAGTGACCTGGTAGTGGGTTATATATACTAACTTGAAGAAAGAAGACTCAATTCCTGCTTCCTAATAGCAATGTGACTATAAACATTTTTATCTCATAAGCCTATTGTAAGCTACGGATGACGTGTGAGTTGGCTCATGGAGCTGTTAAAACTACATAGGATTGCATATGATAGCACAGTTAATACCAGCGCCTATTTAGAGGATCAGTTCAGCACTGATGTCAGCAGTAGTGATGTAATCTCTGTATCTCTTCATCTATAGAAGAGTACAGAATGACTATCAACCTCCAAAAATTAAATGAAGCAATACTTCCTTAAAAACAAAAATAGTTGGAGGGGCCTCTGTATGCAACTCTCTTGGTAGAGTGATGGCCTACCATAGACAAAGCCAGGTTCAGTCCCAATACCACTTAAAATGGATGTGATGAGCCACATCTATAACTCCCATACTTAGGAGGTAGAGGCTGGAGGATCAGTAGTTCAAGGTCACCCTCAGTGATGTAGTGAGTTTGGGGCCAGCCTGAGCTACAAGAGACACTGGATAGATAGATGTATAGATAGATAGATAGATAGATAGATAGATAGATAGATAGATAGATAGACAGACAGATAGATAGATGCTGGAGAGATGGCTCAGTGGTTAAGAATGCTTGCTGCTCTTACAGATTCGGCTCCTAGCACCTAAACCAGGCAGCTCACAACTTCTTGTAACTCCAGTTCTAGGGGATCATGTGCCCTCTTCTAGCCTCTTTGGGCACCAATCTCACATGCTCACCCCCTCACACACACACACACACACAAAGACAAAGACAGAGACACATAAATAAAACTATAATAAAGCTTTAAACTTTTATTTTTATTTATTTTTTGTTTGTTTGGTTGGTTGGTTTTTCGAGACAGGCTTTCTCTGTGTAGCTTTGCGCCTTTCCTGGAACTCACTTGGTAGCCCAGGGTGGCCTCGAACTCACAGAGATCCTCCTGCCTCTGCCTCCCGAGTGCTGGGATTAAAGGCGTGCGCCACCACCGCCCGGCTAAACTTTTAATGTCCTAAACCACTTGGTAAAGGCTGCCTCCTCACTTTACCGTCATCAGCTACAGAAGCATGGTCCTCACTGGCTAAGCATAGCTCTTCTTCCTTACTGAATTTTTAAATTTGTATTTGGCTTACTAAACGCGGAATCTGTTAATAATGAAGATTAGCTGTTTTCAGTGAAGATTCCGCTGTCCGCACAGACCGTGAGCTCCTAGGAGGCCTCAGCTTCGGCCACTGTTTCAGCACCCGTTTCCCCAGTCTCCAGTCCCCTGCACTACGGCCACATCCAGAAGGGGCTCAGCAGTTATTTTGCTAAATGGTCGAGAGAGCAGGACTCCGGGGTCCCCTCCTGGGTTTTGTTGTAGTTCAGGATGGCTTAGAACTCACTGTGTAGCCCAGGGTGGCCTCAGACTCTCAGCAATCCTCCTGCCTCAGCCTCCCAAGTGGTGGGATTATAGAAGTGAGCCACCATGCCCACCTTCCCTGTTGCTTTTTGGAATGTCTCCAAATGTTGCTTCCACACAGAAGCCACCCTTCTCAGGAGCTGTTGACGGCAGACTGCCCAGGACTTGGAACATTTGTCCCTCAGTTTGGGAGGCTTTTGTTTGTTTTGTTTTCCTTTTCTTGTGTGTGTATGGGGAAGGGTGTGGGGACCCACAGAGGCTCCCCAGTAAGGCCTTACTTAAGGTCAGAAAGTCTGAGCTTGCTTTGCCCAGCAGGGCTGTGTAATGGGATGATTTGGCCAGGGTGTGGTTACCAGGTGTTTGGAAGAGTCTACACCTGGCTGTACATTGTGCTTTGATCTTGAATGGGTGTGGTCTTTTGCCTCTCCCCTTGGTAGTGTATAAAAAGCCCATTAGAATAAATCTCAAGAGGACTGGATATCAACCCTGGGCCCTCCCGAAGCTGTCCTGTGTCTCTGTCTTTCTCGTCTCCATCTATATTTCTACCTACTACTTCCTCATTCTTCTCTCCCCCACCCCCACCCCGAAGAACCCTTCACAGGTCAGAGCTGGCCTCCAACAGAAGGAGGAGGCATTGAGGATCAAACCCAGGGCCTTGTGCACTAAGCTAAATCCCCAATCCCCTCAACGTGGCCTTTCCTAGGACAAGGGCTAGTGCGCTCATTTTCAGTGAAAGCCCAAGTGCCTGGTATTCTTAATAAGCCGTGGTTGACAAAAACCAAGTATAAATGTCTGGGCAGTAATCTCACTTTCATCTCTCCCCTTTCCTTCCATTGGCTGTCCTCAGTTTAACAGGCGTCATCACTGCCGCCGCTGCGGGCGTCTAGTGTGTGGTTCCTGCTCCACTAAGAAAATGGTGGTGGACGGCTGCAGAGAAAACCCTGCTCGCGTGTGTGACCAGTGCTACGGTTACTACAACAAAGAGTGAGTGTCCTGTCATCTCACCAGGGCCCTTACACTCCTGGCACTCCCACTGAGCAGTGTATTGAACCTGTTACACTCACAGAGATGTTCTTTAACATGCACGCTGGCAGCATTGTTAACGGTACTGTGAAATGCTTACAGAATGACCTTGTCAGAGAAGCTTCTAGATGGGAAGTAGGGATGAGAAGGAAGTGTTCCGAGTTCTTACAGGCTGGTTTTTCTGAAACCAAGACACTTTGGTCTTTGGCTGTTCAACACACTGAGGTCACAATCTCACTTGGTCACCTCTCCTGTTTCCTGGTTACTCCATTTGGCTCCAGTTGGACTCGGGACACGTCCACACCCACTGAATGTTTGGGCTCATTTGCTTCAGCTCTAAACTGAGTGATCGTCTTGGCTTGTGACTCATAGACAAGCCCTTACACTTTCTTACATATGGTTAGCCTCCAGATACATTTCAGAAACTGTCCCTCCTTCTGGCAAGGCAGATAGATGAAGACAATGTTTTCTGACTTGGATTTTTTTACTACTTCTCAATGAGAGTGTGAAGTGTAAGGCTCCTAGGGCACCTGGGGGAAATCATCCATACAAAAAAAAGCAATATTGCTTTAGATTCTCATGTTTTATTTCATTTAGCAGACTTAACTAGATTTTTTTCTTCTCATTAGCAGTGTGGGCCATTATTTGCCATAATGAGTATTGATTGCGCAGGAAGGAAGACATGCCATACACATTGTACAGTTCCTGAAACCCTAACATACCACGCTGTGCCTTCCTCTGTCAGGTGTAGGAAAGGGATTACCCAAACACCGTCCCTACGGGGATGGAAGTGAGCAGTCAATATTGATGGGGATTCTTTGACCAGCGGTCACTCTGCAGTAGTTAACTACCCTAAAGGAGCCCCCGTTTTACTAGAGAGACAGCCAATAAACACAGTACAAAGTGGTTGGGTAAGTGCAGTGGTGACTGTACACACAGATTGGCCAGATAGGCAGCAGAGTTTCCTGGAGGGGACCCCAGGAAATGAGTCTTCGAGAATGAGGAGTTGGTAGGAAAGAAACCTGAAAAGGAACAGAACGGAAAAGAAACCTTCTGCCCAGAGGTCAGAGAGACACATCAAAGGCAGAGAGAGCCAGGAGAAGAGATTGACCAATTGAGGAGCTGTGAGCAGGGAGGTGACAGGATGGGGTTCTGATCAGCGAACCCTATATTAAAGCTGGCAGCCGAATCCAGAAGACCTAAACACTGGCACAAGACTTGGGCTTGCTCCCTAGTGCCATCATGGACTGGGGTTGCCCAGCATGTTCCTTGTACTCATTTTAAACTTGATCCTTGGTGGCACCAATAGAAGCTGACCAGAGCTGGTGGTGGAGCGAGGGGACCTTCACAGCTTGAGGACAGGTCATGGGTGAAAGGAGATCGCTAAAGAGGTAGTCAGGGCAGGTCTCAAGGGCCTTTCTCCTCAGCTGTGAATGTGGAGTCCTTTCAACCTGAGCAGCCTCTGAAGGATTCTTCAGCAGAAGCAGAATAGGACCAGATTTTGAATTCTTGAACTCTTGCTATTAGCGGTAAGCAGAGGCTAGGTAGTCAAAGTCAGAGAGAGTTACTGAAAAAAAAAAAAAAAAATGGTGAGGTCCCCCTCAGACACAGAGAGATGGGGACATTGAAATGGCTATGTAAGAGATAAAGTGGACAGAGCAGGGCAAGAGATGCTTGGGACCAGTAGGGGAGAGAAAGAGTTAATGCATGATTGACCCCCTGATCAGTGACCGATAGAGCAAATGTCACTGTCGTTCACTAAGCCAAAGGGGAGAAGCAGTGGTTGAGGCATTTCGTTTTTCTTTCTGTGTTTCTAGTGCACCAGAGGAGAGCCCGTGCCAGTCGGAAGGTAAGGCCCGATGGCATTCTCTGCGGCTCTGTGTATGGGCAGGGGCTGGCTCCCTTGTCACTGCACTGGCCTCAGCTGACAGCCGTACGGCACTTCAGTCCACTTGGTAGCTTCTCTATCACTGTTTCCCTCGACATTCTTCACATTAACCTTAATCAAGGCCCATTAGCTTCCAGCACCAGGAAGGCCAAGGGCCAATGAATCTGGTGCTTATCTTTAGTAAGCTACCCCATCTGCTGCACCCCTGCTCCCCTCCTCCATTGTCCTATCATCCAGTTCTCTGTTCTTACCTTCAGATAATCACTGTTAGCAGCTTGGCCAATATCTTTCCACAGCAGGTTAGTTTGTGGAGTAGCCAACGGTTGAGCCATGTCTTTCAGGGTTTCTTGGGTGAAGCATCAGTCATGTCACAAATACTGTGACATTTATCCCAGACCTATGCCTGGGGAAGAGGACCTGAAGTAGCTAATGGTGTCTCCTAAAGAAAACAAAGGAGAAGTGGGGAGGGTGCTAGAAAAATGTCTTAGCAGTTAAGAACATTTACTGTTCTTGTAGAGGACCCAGGTTTGGTTCCCAGCACCCAAACTGAGTAACTCAACTGCCTGTAACTCTTAATTCCAGGAGATCTGATGCCCTCTTCTGGCCTCTGCGGGTACAAGCACACACATGGTACATATAAATTCCTGCAGGCGCACAAACAAACAAGTAAATAAATCTTTTAAAAAGGACAGAAAAGGGACCAAGGAGAGAGAAAGGGACCCTCAGACAGCAGGGAGATATCTAGCTGTGACACACACCAGCTTGTCAGACTGCATGACCGAGTGACTAACATGTGATTGACAGCTCTCTTCTTAGTTTCAGACAGCTCTAAGAATGAAAGCCCTCCATATTCAGCTGTGGTGAGAGTCCCCAAAGCAGCTGAGGTGGAATGGATCTTGAGTCTGAATGAGGAAGAAAACGAGCTGGTTCGGAGTGAATTTTACTATGAGCAGGTAACGACGATAAAATGTGATGGTCACTTGAGGTTCTTTATGATGTCCGACAGTATAACAGGGAATACAGAGGTTCTAACCACAGCCTGGTCCTTGCTTGCTTATTATACAATTATATGAGAGCTACAACAAGTAAACCAGCTAGGCAGCAGATGAGGAACATCTCGGGAGATGTACAGGAAGAAACCAGGAGGAGGGGTAAGAATGTGGGGAGCAGAAATTTGGAATTGCAAGGGGGTGAAGGTAGGCACAAACTGAGCTGTGTGTGGAATGGGGAGATGGCCCAGTCAATGGTAAAGTGCTTCCCATGCAAGCATGAGAACCTGAGTTTGGATCCCCAGCATCCACATTAAAAAAAAAAAAAAAAACAAGTGCAACATCATGTGCCTATATAGTCCTAGCCCTGAGGAGGCAAAGACAGGCAGAACCCTGGGGCTTCCTGCCTAGCAAGTTCTAGCTGAATCAACAAGTTCCAGGTTCAGTGAGAGACCCTGACTCCAAAAAAAATAAGATGGAGAGCCATTCAGGAAGATACCTAATATCAACCTCTGGCCTTGACACACACATGCACACACAAGTGCATGCACACCTTCACACAAATGTATAACCACAACACAAACACATACACACAACAACAACAACAACAAAACTAAAATATCTGAGCCAAGGCACTGAGTCAAAAATCACAGGGCATGATTAGGACATCAGAAGACAGTATTGATGAAGTATTGGTAATATGGTAAGATTGAGAAAGACTATTTATATATATATATAAAACTATGAATTCTAAGGTAAGAAATGACTATTTGATAGTCACCGAGGAAATTTCACAGATAATGCTTTAGAGTTATTGATCTGGCAGCAGCGTGTTCAGGACTTGAAACGGTGACTTCAGCTAAGTGATTGACTGCTGTCATCTAAGCCACTGATAAGAATAAGAATGATTGCAATTGTGGGACAGGAGACCAGAAAAAGGAGGCCACCTGTGGATGTTGTCAGGAAGTAGGAAGTAAGTTCCTGGACAGCCATAGCTATGTAGAGAGACCATGTCTCAAAAAAAAAAGAAGTAGGGGCTGGAGAGATGGCTCAGAGGTTAAGAGCACTGACTGCTCTTCCAAAGGTCCTGAGTTCAATTCCCAGCAACCACATGGTGGCTCACAACCATCT